CCCATAAATATGATCATTGTGATTTCTTAAACAAATGCCGCTTGAACAGGGCTTAACAAAAATCAAGAAACTGAAGATAAATGTGTAAAGCAACATCAAGTTAGTAACTGCTAGAATGAAGATATTAACCTTTTGAAAGAGTATTTTCCCCACTTGTTTGATTATTAAAGCCTGACCAATAAATGTATCTCAACAATTAAGTCCCAGCTTAGGCACTGAGGCTTGCCAACAATACATAGGCCACAGAATGCAGGTAATTTTAAATTGTTTGTAACATGATGATGCAATAATATGCAAAATATATGCATGCAAATGACCACTGTGCAGCTGCAGACTGTGACATTGTGTTTCATCCGCCTAAAGCAGAAAACAGCCCCTATTCTTCCCTTCATTCACACTGTACAGAGACAGTTTAGTGAAGAGGATGGACTGTGACCACACAGATCGTTCTCTGCTTGAACTATGCTTTCATTGTCCACTCCAGATAATTTGTTGCTCTGGGGATTTCATCATATCAGGAACCTGAGAGCCTATTTTATACAGGCAGCAATAGCTGGGATATGGCCTTAGCAAGACATCTGCTTTATTCAAAATATTATTCCAGGCATTACTTTTCTTTTAATCACTCGGGTTGTCTTATACCAGTCTCCTGAAACTTAGAGAAATATTTCTCTTACATGTTAACTTTGCTATCTAATGAAACAGACTGGAATAAAGGAGCTGTTAAACATGATATGTCACAAGTCTTCCCACACAGGTGGTCTCGGATAATTGACTACAATGTGAAAGGGTAGATTTTTTCTTCATTTGACTTCAAACTTTCAGGAGCAATGCGTTTCCTACTAAAATTGAGTCACGACTTTTGGCATCAGGTGAAGGTGACGATGAATGAATAATTCATAAGTTCAATGTGCTGCAGTTAATGACGCTGGTTTTGCACATCGCTATGTCTTCCACAAACGAAGACTTTCACCTTCCTCCACTAATTCAAGAGCATGGGATGCAAAATCAGGATAAAGAGATACCAGACTCACTCTTGTTTTTTTGCGCACTTAATTGTGCCTAAAAGAATTTTATTCAAGTGAGTGTGTGCTTTCAGAATGGGGCGTGTGACTCTTAAGAGGAAATGCAAAGGCACTGATTGCGTTTTCTTCAGCTATTGTACAAGTTTTTACCAAATAAATGCAACACAATTTGAATTTAACCTCACTTGAAAACCTCGGGGTGACCCACTCATCTTCCACTGTTAAGGTGTTGAAATGCATCAACATCATTTATCTGTTCACTGCATTGCCATCAGGACAACTCCCAGTTTTGCCCATTAATACTGCATTTGCTTTGTGTGTTTGTGCGATTTGCTTCTCCCGTGGTGAGCTCTTGCTATAAAAAAAAAAAGCATACTTCCAAGAGAAACGTCTGTGATCATTCATTTACCACAACCAGCTGTGCTTTAGTGCCAGTCAGTGCATTAAAGGATGTAGTTGGGGGGAAATGTCTGATGCGAAGATAACCTGTGACACAGCCTTTTAACATGACATATCCTATGATTGCAGAGATCAGCACTGACTGAAAGGTTACAGATTGACTGTGACACCAATGACCCTTGGAAGCTGAACAAACCACATCCATTAGGAACATAGACAAGGACCGTCTTTCGTTGTTTGCTGGGTAGAAATCATAGATTTGTTCAACACAAGCCAACAACAGAACAGTGAGGATTAGTTCTTACCCCAAAGTAAAAAGTAACAGAAAAAAGCATTTCAGGAGGCACAGGCCCTTTGTTCATACTCCAAAAGTCTGAACTAAATCTAAGACTTGTATTTTTAGTATTTAGGACGCAGTACAGCACAAATTACCCAATGCCTCTGAATGGAACTTCAGGTGTGATTTTCCCACTCTAAAGTCTATATTTGCATCACCACCTTTGGGGGAGGGTACATGACGGAGGTTTGAGGAGGTCACCAGAGACCGTTAAACCCAACGGCTCACTGAAGAGTCATTTCCTGTGAAATGTGTTCCTCGATCACTGACCTGTCACTTTTAAAAGACCAGAAGCTTGAGTCTATTACCATCGATGGTTGAGTGAAAAAGAAAAAACATTTTCTAATTGATTATTTTGCCCCTTTGACTCCAAGGATGCATCAGACCCACTTTATCTTCTGAATCACCTGGCTCAACACCAGTATTTTGAAAGCAAAGGGATTAATCAAACTTATTACACTGAAGGGCTGCCTGTGTATCAGCTATAAACTACATGTCTACATGTATCTATCTCAGGGGAAGAAAGATATTGTGCTCATTTACAACTAATGTAGTTTATAACTTACCTCTAGTGATAAGTCCAGAAAATGGACATTACATTTCCCAGCTAAAGATTAATGCTCACAATATCTAAATTTTGCCCTCTTGGGGAACCGCAAGTTGTTGCAATTTGTAAAAAGTTTTGTCATCACCATGTACTGCCAGTCACAAAGCAAGCATTTGTAATGATTCGGTTCAACAACAGATAGAAAAGGGAACTAAACACTGTGGATATTAGTTAAGTAAAATAATATTTCTGCATAGCACAAATATTATAAGGACACTTAATAGTGAATACTTTAATATCATTAGTACTTCTGATACAAAACTAAAATGCCATGGCAAAAAAGTATTCTTGGTTCATCAAGTGCTGTTATCTCTCATTTAGAATTATAGTCAGATGAGTACTTCAGTCAAACATGTTGAGCATTATCAAAAAGAGAGATAGTATGTAAAGAATAGACCACGGAGCGTCCTGAGCTGCTCAATACACTGATATACATTCTACACAATAGGAAAAACAAGAGTCATAATGATAAAATGAGTTAAATGTAATATATTCTCTCTCATCTTCATTTTCTCTATTTTTATTATCTTTATTTCACACTCTGTCAAACACAAACAAGCGTTTGCTAGGTGCTATATCTGTTGAAACGCTATGAGTTGTTGCTATGCAACAATCCAATACATTTGAGGTGTGCCATTCTTCAGCTTCCTTCTACCTTTCAGCAATCCGTGCACTAGGTGCTGTAAAAACTGTGCTTTCTTGATGCTGTCAGTTTTGCCCTCTTCTCTTGCTGTAAATAAAAGTCTCTGGTGAATGTGCAATGTCAGATGTAATGATAAGAAGTAAATCTCCTTTTCCACTAAGATCACATTTGCAGACAGCTCACTGCCTCACACAGCAAAATAGCAACAGCAGCAACATTATAAGATGGAAAATACACAATTGTTTGACCAACAATGCAACTTGTGTCTTTTTGGTTGTCTTCACTTTAACATCAACACACACTGATGCACTTCATGGCAACCTTTTGGCGTCAAGGTTACGGTTGCCCAACATCAAAGTGTATCTGTCACATGTAAGGTTTTATGGACATCAAAGGAACAGCACACTGCAACCAAGAAAATTTAAAAGCAGTAACATACAGTTTGAGTAATGTATGACCTGCCACAATTGTGGTCATCAGCCCTCTTGTTTCTCTACATTATACCCATTCAGCACCTATACTACAGAGACAAAGACATACAAGAGGGAAACAAATAGGATCAACCATTATTTTATGGCATGTTATGTCTATGTTATATGTTTATGTTATGTTTATGTTTAGGGACCATACACATGGATCTTATGATGGCAATGAGCCGCACAAACACGTTTGTGTGGTTCGAGAAAGCATTATTTGCACACCAGTGAAAAACACTTAACTCAGGCCTATTCAATTATGCTAATGAATACATATACAAATGACCCTGGTTAGTTATTAGCTCTCTCAATTAGTAGACATGTGTATGAGGGTTCAGTAGACAGAGAGGGAAACAGAGTAGTGACGGGCGGTTTGCTTCCCACTGATGATAAAAGAAGCCTAAGGGCAAGACTTGTACAGCTTTTGCTGTTGAAGTGTGGGGTGTGTGATGCCAGTAGTATCCTCTGTTCTCAGATAACATGCACCAGGGCACACAATGAGGATATGTATGAATATTTCTGTGGAAGTGTGCAAGGTGAGTACAGTGTACCACTGAAGTTCTGAGTTTAACAATTTGTAGAAATTCAGTGACAAAAAATTCTATATATAGTGCTTATAGAGCTTTTCTAACGGGGAATTTGAAGAAATTATTTGTGTTAACAGAATGCAGTGACATGGAGTGACATCTAACAAAGACGCAAAATGCATATAATTTTTTTAACAAAACAGATGACTTATCACCATTTACTTAAGATGCAGCTAAGGCTATTACTTAAGAGTTCTTCTTTCATTGAATCATATTCAAATAATACAGAACTGTGTTTAAGAAATATTATAAAATTGTTGACACAAATGACCAAGCATTGTAATCGGTAGAATATTATGCCATGATATAGGAACTTTTGTTAGAAAACCAAAGTCTTTTAAAGAAGCTAACTAAAACATTCTTTTTTTTCCATCTGAGGTTGGCATCTCTTAGCACTCCCTTCTGCTGGTGTAATGGGAGCAGAGTGGAGCATTAAAAGTGACTGCCTTTTTATGCCTTTATCCAGACAGTTTTAGATTTAACTACAAAGCTGAACAGCACAAGGTGGTACATTCTATTTTTTGAAATACAGGAACCCTATTTTTCATTTTTAGTAATAATTGCATTTGGAACAAGTTGGTGTTTTTAAATTGACACCAAGTTTCTACTGTGAAAGCAAACCATATTGAAGATCATTTCTGACCGTTGACATGCCTTATGTGTTTCCCTCAGCCACAATAGAAGACAAACTAAGGAGCCTTTTCTGTTCATAAGGTGTCGACACCTAATTATTGTTAAGCTGAGGGCTCCGGCACAGCATTCATTATACTGGACCAGAAATGTTCTGACTCTGGTGGGTCCACTGGCCACGCCCTACTGATATGCAGTAGTCCTCCACTCTGCAGCTACTTTAAATGCATTTTTTATTTCTTTTTCACGCTATAGTGCATTTTTAGTTAGCTTTCTAAGCTCCCAGAATGGCAGACCCTCTCCTCATTCCCTTTGTTACTGATCCCTGAGGAGAAAACACAACATAATTCCCTTTGGCTAAATTGCGCCTGCGATTAACACTTTGACTTCACACTTTGTTCATAAGAAAGGTGTGCAGGATTGGCATGCACATTGTTTTACACATTTGAACATTAAGTGGTAAGCAAACTTTGACTTTATGAGTGCACCTTCTTTCAATATGAAAGCTGGGCTGCTTATCATACAGGAGTCTTGAATAATAATTTTGCCAAATTTTGCAAAGTAATACAGAAAAAATAAACCAAACACAAAAACAACCAAATCAAACAAACACCCATGTAATGCATTCCCTTCAGAGTAGGACTCTCAACTGTATTGAATTCAGTATTACATTAAGGGGCCATTTACATTTTCTAACCTCAAATTCAAGCTCTTCAAAATGATCATGTTCACAGAAGATTTAAAAGGACAGAATAATACAGAAATGACGTGAAACAATATTGTTGACAATAAGTGATCTAAGATCTAATGCACCACTGAATCATCTCGACCGCAGTAAGGAATCCAATTTGTAAGCTTTGCTATGGTGACAAGTGCTATAATTACTTCACCAGCCAACCTGGTAAAGCACTTAGGACTATTTTTCATGGGCTCAGGTGATGATCAGTGTTGGTTCAGTACCGATATACAAACACTGCTGTCGCCATAAATGATACAATTTTTAACTCAAAGGAAAAATTGTTATTGGTAGCATCTAATTTAATAATTCTATAAAGACTATTTGAAAATAAGAATCTTGCAAGATTATAATTTTGCCACTGTCTGTAATGCTTGGTTTGTGGTCCAACCCCTCTGTGGATGCATGTGGTGCTTTCCACAGAAGGTGGTGCTGAATTTCCTTTCCCTTTGTTGACCTCTCATCTGAACAGGAGCATTGTCCATGGTACTGAATCAGCACTGCACAGTCTGAGCACAGGGGCTCATCCCACAGAGACAAAATAAGAATTTTGCTGGCTGACAAGCAGGCTGGGTGGAGCGGACTGGACCTTGCCTCAGCTGGGACTTTCTGAAAGCGGCAAACGAGCCAGAGTCTCAGCAGGCAGAAAGCTCCACGCCCTGTGTGCTTCTGAGCTGTCACATGTCTCAGCGTCATCACAAAGGGATGAGGTGAGATTGGAAGCCCAGGAGTATCTCAAAAATAGACATAAAACATGCTTGTGCGGATAAACTGATTACTTGTTGCAAAGAAGAAAAAATGTATATCAGATATCGGGACTTTGCCCAGATGTGTTAAACATCCAGGTGAAATTGTGAAGAAAACAGTAAAAGAATTGTTTGGCAATCAGACACTGTCTGTTTTATGCCTTTCTTTTAGCATTCAGTCTGACATACAGTGGGTGTACAACCAGTGGCGTGTTGTGTAAAAGGAACAACTGATCCCTGCCCATGAGTGGCCATCCCCACTCTGTCCTGTCTTTCCCAAGAGAAGGACAGCCAGCCAATCAGAGTGGATGAGGCAATGAGTCACGGAGAGAGTGGTCTGCATCCAGTGGACCGAGAGGAGCTGTCTGCCACTCTGTGCAGGAAATCTGTAACGTCCATGGAAGGAGTGACCTGATCATAAAACAAACACCCACAGACAGGTGGTGCATGTCCATTTCTAAATATATTGTTGCTGCTTCACAATCAAACGGATTTATTGTCAAAAACTTTTTTTTGTGTTCATACTTTTTAATCTCTTTGAGACAGGTCATTTACTTGCAAGTGTTTTCATCCTCACTAAAACTCAATAATCATCCACTGTAGCACTGCAAGGTTGTGTGAAGGTCAGCATACTGTCTCTGTACAGTACAACTCTGGCTAAGCGGCATCTACACTTCATATTGGTATAGAACATTCATGTTCAATGAAAACTATTGTAACAGGCAGTTTGAATGATACGCTGAGATGTTCATCAACTATTAATGTTCTGGGAGATCTCGCAGCAGGAAACATCAAATAAAATGGATACACACAGTTGTCGAGTCAAATGACAATGCCAGTGGGTGTAATAAATTAGAAAAGGATTAACAAAGAATTCATTATTTAATATACCTTTCATTTGCTGAGGACTGAATGAACTGAAAATGTGAACAAATTTTCACGGTCCGCTTTTGAACAATACAAATCCTTTTCTAAATGAACCACAAAGAGATTTGGAAGGTAGAGGGAGAATAGAGTGAGAAAGGAATTGTAATTTTCTGTTTGAAAAGAGTGGCACTGGAAATTAAAAGCCTAAAATAAATTCAGAGATGAAAAAAATAAAATAATAATAATTAAAATTTCTAAAAGCTTTCACATCCTTCATGTTTCTGAATGGGAGGGGGAAATAAAAGTGCAAGCATGACTAAGAACAGAGTAGCTTTGTTCACTCTCTGGCCCTCTAGTCTGTCTTTGCCTAATGGTCTACACTGTACCTCAGCATGCGTGGAAAGAGAGGAGGGGGCTCAACGACTTCATTTCGGCTGAATCTTGTATAATGACAGATAAGGGATGAAAAAGGGGAAATGACAAACAGCAGGGAAGGCAGTGCATTGATTCGATTACAGTGTAACTTCTCATTAAATGACAAAGAAAACAAACCCTGGCAAGGAAGCAGCATTACCAGTTACAACTGCTAAATATGGCACATCTGTTCTCTTTTCTGTAGGGCAATTACTGTCTAGTCTGACTGTTCTGCTGCCACCGTTGCCACCCTGAGCCCAAAGAGCAGCCACTGATCTGAAACTCAGTCCAACCCTCAGTGGGATGCTGCTTATCCCTGCCTGTCACTAATACCAAGGATCCTATCAGATGTAGAACCACATGCAGCCAGATCCCACTTAAAATAGACACACTCTGATTGGACTGATTCCAAAATAATATCTTCGGGCCAAGTAATAAAAACTGATCATAACATATATAGTGTGATTTTTAGTAAGAGTTTAATATCTCATTATTTGAAGAAAAAAAGAAAGAATAGAAAATCAAGGACACATGAAAAGGAAAGCGGGAGTTTGTACAAATCTGATCCTATCTGACAAATGTATATTTGTGTCACTATTCATCCCACCATTGTGAATCATAAATCATTTGGCTTCTGCCAGCCAGGACTAGCTCTGGTCAAAAAGAAACTAAAACACCTGTCTCATCTTATTTGCCGTCTTATATTCTACTTGACTTTTTCTGCCATAATTACAGTACATTGTCCTACAAGGCATGTTTTCTGACACGCTCGCACAGACCTAAAAAGATTCTTAATATCAAGTCAGCATGGCATGCATTACATTATGTTCAAAGCAACAACGCAAACAAAAGCTCTCCCGCCATTTCACTGTACAACCATGCTGTAAGCATCCCCATAATACGATCTTGCGTGTCTCTTAAATCTCTTACCTGGCAGCACGCGCTTTCCTGTGTCCTCTTCACAGTCCAAGGAAGGGGTTTAGACAAGTTCTGCTTTTCCTGAGGAGGCTTGAGGTTTCACTTGGAGAAGAAGAAAAAACAAAAATCAGTGGTTGAGGAAAAAGAAAAAAAAACAATGTCCACTTTTATTCACACGACAGCTCAAGAAGCACTCACGATCACACACTTGAACACCCAGTCAGCAGCTTCGGGAAGCAAGCGACTCACTGTTCCCTCTCCTACTGTCCGTGACACTCGCCTCAATTCTCCCCGCCCACCTACTCCAGCCCCCTCCCCCGACTTCTCTCTTTCCCTACCTCTCCCTCGCTTGTTTCTCTTCTGTTCTGATGAAACACACACATCTTTACCTCTCCGTTCACTATACTGTGACATTTTCTCAACCCCCTTACTGCAAAAGCAAATACTATTGCTAGTAGATGTGGATTTCTCCAGATCATTTGCAAACTTATTCTTGGATCAGGGAACGCTTCTGGGGTGATTTTTCACATTGAATAAGACAAACCCCCAGTGAAAGCCTAACCACATCAGATGGTGTAATTGATGAATAATGGTACTGAGACAATCTCATTGTATGTTTACTATTTGAAAGCCATCTCTACTGCTTTTACATGTATTTAGCCTTTTTCCCTTCTCTCCTCCTCCATCTATTCTCGTCTCTACTCAGGTATCAGATGCTGCTCACGTCCAACCCTGCGGACAGCAAGTCAAGGGCATTCCCAGAGTAAGTGTATGCTAATGCTTTGCCTCAAGGAGCTGCCTCGCGTCCCCCTCAACATACAGACCAAGCAGATGTGGCACTTGGCTCTCCCAGGGAGGGGGCAGCAGATACAAAGACAAAGGATGACAAGCACCAAAAATCTGTCAAGCAACCGTGCTTCCACTTCAGCTGGGAAAGTGAGGTCAACAGCTCCAAATCTGATGGAGCTGAAAAATAACCAAGGTCAACACCCATGTTTAGTTTTCAATCATAAGACATGATGATGTTAACTGTTAGAACTCCTGACAAATCTTATCGTCAAAATGTAGATACTGCATACGATTATGGAATCCACGCATACAAAATTGTGATTACCTTTGTGACAAAGTCTAATGAGATTGTGCTTGCACATCAAACAATCCAAACTATAACTCTCTTAAATCGTCCTAAGTTCGTTCATTTATTTGATCTGCATGAGCTTCGACAAGGCAAAGAATAGGGCATGTAGATAAAGGATAACAGATAAAGTTGTGACAGAGGCAAAGTAAACAGGGAGTCTGTGTTAATGATTACCAACTAGCAACCTGACTGGAGTCTGCACAGCTTGCCCCTCTTTACATAAGCTCTGCTTCAGTTGTTCTACGCAAGTAATGTTTGCCTCTATTGTGTAGACTGTAGGGGTTATTGGGTAGGGTGTTCAAGCTGCTGTACATTTGTGGCTTGGTGGTCTCAGCACTTGACCCCAATGAGCAAAGCAAGAAGTGTATCCTTGTAGGGTGCAGCAGGCCATTCATAAAAATATCAAGTTGTCCAGTTCAACAACTTGGATAACACATGCCACCACTTCATGGGCATTGACTATCACAGCTAAATACTTCCTCATTAAAACCTTTAAGCTCAGTT